AGCTGCATAAGTAACAGTTGCACCCATTAAGCACCGATTGACAAAGCCATGACGAAGAACAGGGTTCACTTGCACTCAGGCAGAATCATGACATCAAATGTCCTGCGACAGAGCCGCACATTATGTCATATTCAAGATCACGCATAGTTGACATCATTCTTCTAGCAACAACCCTGAATCTAAAAATTATTGACAGTACTGGATAGTGATATCGAGCCTCAGTAAACGAATTTTCATTCTTTTCTTTTTTTAGATTGAAAGACAAATCTCACTCTCCTATGCCTGGCTAGCGCAGTTTTGTGCATCAGCCTACGCTTCACAGTCAACGCTCCTAAACTTCCGCTTCTAGCGATCCTTCTACCTGTATCGTTTCCTCTAGAAAGATGGAACATAACAAGTATGAGTCAATGAACATAACAGGCATACTCTCTATACTGTGTCGCCCAAACATGGCACTCACGTCATGCGTACATTATTTTCATATATTACTCAAGGAAATGACAGAGCACATTATTGCACACTCAATGTTGTCCAACATGGAAGCGTTCTGATATCATATAAGGCGTTAGTGGGACACACGTGGGGGTTCCACCGCTTTGCTCAGGCCTGGCCAATCCTGCCCCCTTACTCAGATCAACTTTTTGTGCGTATGCAGCACTTTTATTGATCCCGCGTACCATCTCTTTACAATTAGTCCTCTACCTAACAGAGTGCTCAGGTATACAGGCATAGAGCCACTGTGCGCAGGTGATTCATCTTGACGACCCTGTTGGATTTGATAAAATGATCATATTAGAAATGCTTTTGAAAATAGCAATTGCTTTTCTAATGAATAGATTCCATATCAGCATGAACTAGGGAAAAGATCAAAAGATATAAATGAAAGAAGAATGCGCCATCATGCAGAAATCCCCCAACACATATGCTTCTGCTTTCAACCATTATTGGTGCAAATCTGTATTCTCCTTCCTCAACCCAAAATCAAAGACAGGCATTAAAGTCACAATATGACTGAACAACCCCATCTAGAGGATCTAACGGAACGCAGACCTCCATGCGCAACGAAAATTCAGAATCTTTCAACAAGAACCAAACAATGAAGTCAATTACTAAAAGAATATATGAGCCTAGTGTTGTAATTCTAACAATATATACAAATAAATCTTCTACCATTATTATTGCAACTAACATGGTCAACAGGTAATACAACAACCTCCCCCGGCAGCGTTAGAATCTTTACAACAAACATAATAGATTCATTTATCAGGTGTTCACAGTACTACATATACAAATCACTAGTTTAATTGAGTCACAAGCTTCTATTGAATGTATTCTCTTTATGATAAACTTGTATAAATACAGGCAATTTAATATTTTAAAATTGAGCGCGTAACTAACTATTGATAATTCAAAAATGAAAATGTTAGCTTTACGTTCCAGCGCGTATAACCTACTTGTTAGTGAATGTAATACTGAGGGGCGAATAGTAGGCCGACAACACTTTTCGTTTTTCACCATTAAAGAAGAAATCTGTGACAACTTAACACCGACACCTACCTGTGTTGTTAAGACAGCATCTTCTGGCATTTCATAGTCAACACAAGACTTTGCAGGTTCACGTACAATATGTCCGTAAATATCCATCCTGTACCTACTCTGACTAAGAGATTCTCCGAACAGACGAAAGGTCACAATGGACTGATTCTTAGTCAAATTCGTGTTCCAGAAATGCCACTCCTAGGCCGGGACCGGTGTGGGCTCACACCTGTAATCCTAGCACTGGCCAATCCGAGATGGGGCTGACGGGCTCCATGGGCAGAGCATTCAAACACACAGCGGAGCGACAAAGAGTCTACCAAACAGAGACCCCCACCAGCTTTATTTCAAGTCCGAGACCATCACCATAACTCTCCCATTCCCTTACCCGTCTACTACTATTTTCCAAGCAGAAGTGTTTAGAATGGAGGGCGGAGAGAGTTCTCTATCCTGCAAGTACCAGATCCCACAGTAATTATAGCTGACCGTTTTTTTTATGGACATAGTATGCTATGCTCATGGTGCGCCTACATTAACTCCCAGTTCTACCCAGGCTACTTTCGGTGCTTAACGGGTGTTTGCAAGGCAGGCAAGACTTGAATACATGTGAGCTTGAGCCCAGGAGTTTGAGGTTGCTGTGAGCTAGGCTGACGCCATGGCACTCACTCTAGCAGGGCAACAAAGCGAGATTCTGTCTCAAAAAAAAAAAAAAAAAGACAGGCAGGATGTAACCATCTCTCACAGCTCCTTCAACAGGACAGACTTGGGCCACGAGAGGTCCCTGCTTCCCGATTCTTGAAGATGCCCCCAGTTACAAGGGCGAAAAAACCATGAGTCCTTGCCCATTAATCTCCCTCCAGTTTTCCCAAGTCCGTTACTTGGTCACCACTAGCCTGCAGGCAGAAGATTACCTGAGTGCTGAGTTATGGGGAAAAGTGAACACGGGAGGGAGAGCTTGAATGCCGTCACAGGTGGATGTTATGTTGTTTCTGCTTTGTGTCTTGGACTTCGGGTTCACGTAACTGAGTTGGTCATCCTCTCCATTTCATGGTGTGCTCTCATCATTGTTGATTCTTACTTTGCGCTTCTATTTCCCCAGCCCAGTTTCTGTTCCCCACTAAAGGCTCTTTTCTTGATTATTTAATGTTATTATTTAATGTTATTTAATTGTTATTATTTAATGTTATTTGTTAGATAGGGCTCTCTGGAAACAAGTTCTGAGACGGAAGTTACACACAGATTTATTCACAAGTGCCCTTGGGAGATACACTAATAAGGAGGTGTGGAAGACAGGGTTGGACTGATGGTGAAGGCAGCTCCCAAGCAGTTGCAGCTGAGAACTCAGCTGCGCCCATGGACACTTTGTACTTTTCCCAAACAGATGCAAAGGGGACCGAGCCTTTTATATCCCGGCATCAGTCAGCCAGTGGCCGCTGGCCTTCCCCTTAGCAGAGGCACAACCTTAGGTGAGGCAATTCCCTGTGGCCAGAGCAATTCCCCTGAGGGACACAGCCTTGAGGCTCAGCGCAGATCCCACCAGCAGCTGGCAGGTGGGGTGGATTGGCCCTGAAGAGGGTCTACGGGTGGAGCGTCACAGTACCCACTATAGCAGGCGTCCTCAAACTACGGCCCACAGGCCACATGCGCGTGTTTTTGCCTGTTTGTTTTTTTACTTCAAAATAAGATATGTGCAGTGTGTATAGGAATTTGTTCATAGTTTTTTTTTAAATTATAGTCCAGCTCTCCAACGATCTGAGGGGCAGTGAACTGGCTCCCTGTTTAAAAAGTTTGAGGACCCCCGCACTATAGTATATGTTCATCTCATCCACCTTCAGGAAGTTTACCCTTGAAACATACATAGTGTTGCTTTGTGTCTTTTTAAAACTTTACATAAATGGCATTGTGCTATAGACCTATTCTTGCCCCTCGCCCATCCCAGCATTTTGTTTGGCCGAGAAGAGAAAAGGCGCATATGTAACTCCTATTTTCGAGTTGAAGCCGGGTCACAGACGCGCCTGCGTTGTCCAGTGAATCGTGTTAGGATCAGGACCCTGAGCATCCTGACCTCCTAGGCTGAAGTTCCGCCAGTCTCCTTTGTTTCTCATATTTGATTAATGTTCACACCCTTTTAAAAAGAGAAAAAAATATTCTCTTAGATTTGACCTAAATTATTTATATTATGATGTGACCTAAAAAGTCTAAACAAAAAATAGGTCTAGGCCGAGCGTGGTGGCTCACGCCTGTAATCCTAGCACTTTGGAAGGCCGGCGGGCGGATTGCTCAAGGTCAGGAGTTCGAAACCAGCCTGAGCGAGACCCGTCTACCAAAAATAGAAATAAATTAATGACAACTAAATATTATACAAAAATTAGCCGGGCATGGTGGCGCATGCCTGTAGTCCCAGCTACTCGGGAGGCTGAGGCAGTGAGGATCACTGAGCCCTGGAGATTGAGTTGCTGTGAGCCAAGGCTGACGCCACGGCACTCACTCTAGCTGGGCAACAAAGTGAGACTCTGTCTCAAAAAAAAAAAAAAAAAATAGGTCTAACTTCCCAATGTTTATAGCTCTTCTTATAACTAAGAATGAATTAATGCTAACAAATCCTAAAACAACAAACAAAAAAATTAAGTTAACATCAGTCCAATTTGAACTGTAATTGTTGTTTTCTGAGAACTAACTCACGGCATCCGGCCCTGACTGCTGCGTTGCAGGTCTATTCCACACGGTGTCCCTGGCTCCTGTGGGCTCCGGTTCTTCTGGATTAACCTCTACCAAACCTCTTTGTCTAAATCCCTGGGTACTGTTGGCCTCACTTGCTAAAAATGTGTCCCTGAAGTATTGGGTCTGCCTCTGTCTTCTGCCCTTCAAAGTTCATTTTCTTTGTGAGGAGAAGGCAATTAGCAATTCTTATTAAACCTGTTCCCTGCCTGATCCCGTGCTGGAATTAACCCTTTGCATGATGGAATCAAGTGAGCCTTATGGACAGAATTAATCATTTCTAGATTTTGGGTCTTTTAAAAAAAATATATCAGATGCTCCTTTGAGGAGGGGTATAAAGAGGAAAATAAATACTGAAGAATTCAATTTGCTCTGTGAAGTCCTTTCTCTGGAAGTGTATAATCTATTGTTGATACTGTGAGAGGAGCACATCCAGCAGGGAGAAATTAAAAACGCTCAGGCCAGTTGCTACCCTGATGAATCTCATCCAATTATTTAACAGGACACTGCTGGGTATACTTTTTTTATGTTTTAATTATTTTATTCTCTATTGTTTGTCATACCATTGTAAAAGTTTTCTGGATTAAAAAATCCTTTTTCAGTCTATCCCTTGCACTTGGCAACCATTGATTTTTTTTTTTGCTTCTGTGTTCATAACTGAGTTTGAAATTAAGTTAGGATATTATTGATCTATGTATTTATTTATTTACTTTCGTCCTTGAATGTACCATTTTAGAGGCTGGATTCTTTTTTTTTTTTTTTGAGACAGAATCTCGCTTTGTTGCCCATGCTAGAGTGAGTGCCATGGCGTCAGCCTAGCTCACAGCAACCTCAAACTCCTGGGCTCAAGCAATCCTGCTGCTTCAGCCTACCGAGTAGCTGGGACTACAGGCATGTACCACCATGCCCAGCTATTTTTTTCTATATATATTAGTTGGCCAATTAATTTCTTTCTATTTATAGTAGAGACGGGGTCTCGCTCTTGCTCAGGCTGGTTTTGAACTCCTGACCTTGAGCAATCCACCCGCCTCAGCCTTCCAGAGTGCTAGGATTACAGGTATGAGCCACCACACCCGGCCTAGAGGCTGGATTCTGAAAGGAATTTTAAAGAGCACCAGCTGCAGTAGGAGAGTTTTAGTCAGGGAAGGATAGTTTAGAATTGTGTGAACTGTAAAGTATTTGTGAAAAGTGTTAGTTACATTCTTCTTTGTTGAAAAAAAGTGTGTCCTCTCTCCCCCTCTTTTTCAACATGAAGGACTGAAAGAAGCTACTTTTTTCATGTTGGAAGGCCACATTAATTTAGCTGTAATCAAGTAAGGCCACATTCAAGAGACTTCAATTAGATATACTTAAAAATGCACATTATTTTGTAAAATTCTAACTCCTATGTACTTAATAATTTCAAAAAATGAAAACTATTTGTTAATTTTAGAGTTAACTAACCTTTTAATGACTTCATTGTGTCTGCTTTTTGTTGGAAAGCATTTGAATATTTGGTTGCAGCATGGAGGTCTGCAGTTTCAGTTGATCCTCTAGATGGGTGTCAGTCATTTGTGACTTTAAGTGCCTCTTGATTTGGGTTAGGAAGGAGAATACAGATTTGCACCAATAAGTGGTTGAAAAGCAAGAAAGCATGTTGCCGAATGCATGGGTATTTTTTACTGCATTTTTCCATATTTCAATTGGATCTTTCTAATTGAAAGATGCTTTCTAAGCATCAATGACTTTAAAATGTCATATACTGGCCGGGCACAGTGGCTCATGCCTGTAATCCTAGCACTCTGGGAGGACGAGGTGGGCGGATTGCTCGAGGTCAGGAGTTTGAGACCAGCCTGAGCAAGAGTGAGACCCCCCGTCTCTACTATAAATACAAAGAAATTAATTGGCCAACTAATATATATAGAAAAATTAGCCAGGCATGGTGGCGCATACCTGTAGTCCCAACTACTCAGGAGGCTCAGGCAGAAGGATCGCTTGAGCCCGGGAGTTTGAGGTTGCTGTGAGCTAGGCTGATGCCACAGAACTCTAGCCCAGGCAAGAGAGTGAGACTTTGTCTCAAAAAAAAAAAAGAAAAGAAAAATTTCGTCTACTGAGAGCTCAATCAATTCCATCTGTAATATTTTTAGGTGCCTTAGTGATGTCAACTAGGTGAGGCTGAAATGCTAATTTGGGTATGATGTCATGATTCTCAAAGTCAGTGAACCTTTCATTGAATTCTCCAATTAATAGGACTATAGCAGCTGTGTATTCTTCAAATGATTCACATATATCATCCTACTCATCAATGACCTTTGCTAACTGGGGAAAATGTTCATCCAAAATTTTCATTTGCAGAAATGTTTTGAAAAAAGCTTTTTTTGAAATGCTTGGATTTTTTTTGCCACATAGTATATATAGACTTAGTTTTACCTTGCAAAGAAATATTCAAGTTGTTTTTATTTGACATGATATCACACAGAATTGCTACATTCCTATAGAAATCTTCTTTCACTAATTCACATTGCTGATTCTGTTCCTCATAAAATTTAACTATCTGTTCTCGAAGAGATAAAATGTTGGCTAACACCTGTCCTTGCGATAGCCAACGCAGTTTATCTTGAAAGTTATTGAAGATATCTATTCCCCATGTTCTGTTCGCAAGAGTGCCCAAAGCGAGTAATTCTTTGTAGCAAAGAAAATCTTCCATTATGACTGGAATGAAGTATAAAACCCATGCCAATTCAGTAGATCAGTTGATCCTCCCAAAGTGATTGAATAATACATGTTTTCCTTTTGAAGTATTACATGAAGTTGTTTTGTTAAGATGAAGACTAATTCATGCTGCCAATCAGTTATGGTTCTCCTTGAAAGAGGCAGTTGTTTGCACTTTGAAACATTATCGGGGTCTAAGCATCCTACAATTTTGACAGTGCATTCTTTCACAATTTCTACATCACTGAATGGCTTCCCTTTTTTCCCTGAAGTATATAAGCTACTTTATAAGTTGCATTATTTCCAGGTCTTATTGCTGCTCGAAAGAAACATCTTTGCTTTTGCTTTTCATCTTTTAATTTCTACAATACAAACTTTTGTGTCTCTCCTTCTAATTTAAAATATTTGTGGTCCTCATAAGTGTTGGACTTCTTTAATATTGATATTGCAGTATCACAAAGCAATCAAATCACCTTATCTTTAGCAGAAACAAGATAATATTGCCATTCCTAATCCTCATTAAAAAATCTGTTTTCTTCCTTCAGTGTTCTCTTGGTCTTCTTTGACATGATGGCCTGTTAAGCAGACAAAAAATACTGCAACTATTCACAAATCCTACTTTAAACAGAAACACAATGCACCATTGTCAAAAGCTGACAACAGATTGGCAAACTCAGCCCCAGTAAACTCTCACCAACCAGCCTCATGTGGCAGCAGCACCAGTCAGGCGGGGGAAGTTAGAACTAAGTCCTGAGCATAGCAGGTGGCCACTTAGCCCTCATGGTTTACTAGTGTTCTAATCCCGACAGTTAATCTGGGAGGATTATTTCCTTGAAACTTATTCTTTGGCATTTTAAATACATTCATTTAAAAAATAAAATAAAAATATAAAAGATGAACAAAAATGCATTAATAAAAATAAAAGGATTTGTTCTGTAAAAATTGGATTCGATCAAAAGGCCGCACTTAAGGACCTAGAAGGCCCTGGTTTTCCCAGCACTGGTTTAGGTGCATCCAGCCTCGGGGAGTCTAGTAGATGCCAAAAGAGACATGTTTTTCCCCTGGGGAGTTGCTCTGACCCTGCCAGATTTGGGTTCCCTCCTGAAGCCCTTGGCTGAAATGAGGTTTCGGCCACACTTCCCCGTGGGCTAAAGCCTTTGGAAATGACCCTGCTTTCACAACCCTCGCCATAGCCGACTCATACCCGCTTGGCCCCCGTGCGGCTAAGGCTCCATGCTGTGTTTTAGCTTCAGGAAGACCCTGACCTCTTGGGTCTGTGCGGCTTCCCTGGCCACCCCCGATTTGTGACACAAGCCTTGTGGTTTCCACCCCAACCCTGTGGACCCAGGCATGGGGTGCTAGATAAAATACAAGATAGCCAGTCAACTCTGAATGTCAGATAAAGAATGGATTTTTTTTTATATGGGTACAGTACATTCCAAAGATTGCAGGAAATATACTTAGGGCTCCGTTCTCCATGCCCCTATGCCACACACGCCCACAGGGGAATTGTTCCCTCTTGCTCCGTTTTCCCTTTAAGCTTCCAACCTTCAACAATCTTGATTCCTTACTTCTTTCAGTTTTTTTGCCCCCAGCTGGGAAGCTGCTACTGACATTTGCAGGCCAGAGCGAGGGTACAAGTGGAGGCCCTGGCCTCAGCGAGCCCCCGTTCCTGTCCCCAGCACTTTCTGCATTTTGAGGATCCTGTGGCCCTGG